AACTATCCCTATTAATCATTACTTCAGTCCCCAAAACCCCAAAACCCCAAAACCCCAATTCTCTAATATCCGTTTGTGAAAGAATGATTTTAAAGATATAATAATTTATTGATTTAATTCTACATGCTTACCGCTCATTAAAATAACTCTTCCCTCTAAAATAGTCCAGACACTAAAATGCAAAAAAATAAAGAATCTAGCCTCGAAGATGGTGATTTTTCTGTAACAACTCTCACAGACAACGCTCTAAGAGATATAGTTGAGAAGGTAAAACTTCCAGAAGCCAAAACCACTAAATATGTGCTATAAGTTGTCGAATCAAAAGTTTTTACTGAAGAAGAAAAGAAAAAGAGTGTCAAACAAAGGTAATCATTAATAGATTAATTAAATGACTAGGCTTATGATTTCTGATGGAAAATCGCTTGTCATTGCTATGATAACTGATAAAATGGATAAAGCAATGGTAATTATTAATATATTATCTAAATTCTCACATTCTTACTCTACTTTAACATTGATATGTAAATTTATAAAATAGGACGGCAAGACTTTCCCTAAGTACAGTATTATTAGAACGACAGGAAATTTCATGATTTAAGTTGTAGGAGAGAAACAGTAAGATCATTTAAATTAATAAGTCTCATTTTTAGAGTTTTGATCTTTAAAGATTTCCCAGAGCTCATCTACACTGGCTTGAAAAAGAAGATTGGCAATCCTACTGAGCTCGAAAAAAATCTGAAAACTCCTGAAGTTTTTGACAACAGCAGCATTAATATCTTGGTGCCTGTTGAAGAGACTGCATAATACTAGTTGAATATGGCTAATGTAAATATCATCATAGCTAATCATTTATATAGAGTGCTTAAAAGTCGACAGTGTCTACAAATAATGCAAGCAGTAATTAAAATTCTGCTCAGAAATTAGAATCACCTGTTTCTATCTCAAAGGCTCAGGAGTACAAGTCCAAAGCTCGTGAGATGCTTATGAACGATATCTAATACACTCCAATCAAGTCATTGAATGCCTTCTTGTTCGACTGGAAAATTAAGGCCAGAGTTACAAAGAAGCAATAAATCAGAACATGGAAAAATGCTAATTCTACAGGTCATGTGATGAACGCCGAGCTGATTGATAACTAAGGAACTCAAATTTTAGCAACATTTTACAACGACATAGCTCTTAAATATGATGATATCCTTAAAGAAGATAAAGTGTACCTCTGGTCAAATGGAAACGTCAAAATTGCTAACAAAAAGTATACTAGCATTAAGAACGATTATTGCATTGTTTTCGATAAAAATTCTGAAATAGAAGAGATTGATGACGATAAGTAAATTTAGTAATAAGGCTTTAATTTCGTGACAATTGATGAGATTAATGATTATGAACAAAGTAGAACCGTTGATACAATTGGTGTTGTTACAAATGTTGGATAGATTTCAAATTTTGTTCCTAAGAATGGAGGTGCTTCTAAGGACAAGAGAAGCATTTAAATTGCTGATGAGAGTGGTTTAGCAATTCAAGTCACTATTTGGGGCAAAAATGCTTCCTCTTTGAATTTCTAAGAAGGTCACATTCTCGCTGTGAGAGGAGCTAAAGTAAGTGATTATGCTGGCAAGACTCTGAATATTGGTGACGATCACTGTTCACTCTATCTTGATATCGATCATCTGAGAACAAGAGAATTAAAGCAATGGAATAAATAAAGAAATCCAGACAACATTAACTCTGTTAGCACATCCATCATTAATGGAAATCAAAATTAAAATTCTGAGAGAGCAGACAACTTTAGACTTATCTCTGAAGTAGTTAGAAATGTTGCAGATGAGGGTGTCAATATTCAACCACAGTGGAATCAAGGTTACTCTCAGCCTAAAGCTAAATTCTTCAAAATTACAGGCTTTGTAAGCTATCTAAAGCATGATGACAAATTCTTCTATTTAAGTTGTCCAGATTGCAGAAGGAAGGTCTCTGAGGAGCTTGAAGGTTTCAGATGCGATTATTGCAATAAATCATTTATTCAATCAAACCCTACTTATATTATGACTGCAAAAGTTTCAGATCCAACAGGAGATATGTATATTCAATTTGCTAGAGAGTTAGGTGATCCAATCATGAATGGTCTTACAGCTTCAGACTTCAAGGATGTCAAGGAACAGCTCTCAAACCCAGAGGAAATGAAATTATTCTTCGCCTAGGAATGTCTTTACAAAGTAATTTATAGATCCTTTTAATATTTATAGACTCATTCTGTTGTTATTAAGGCATAGAACGATCAGTATAGGGCAGGAAATAACGGAGATGATAGAATTAAATACACTGCAGTAAAAGTTTTGCCATAAAATTTCACTGAAGACAATCAAATGCTGTTAAAGAGGCTCAGAATATATGAGAAAATGAATGGAATGTAAGAATGAAAAGGAGTGCATCAGTCTTGATACATGAGTAATGATGATAATATATGAGTTAAATTTATTTTTCTCCTTTCAACATAAAAATTTAAATTAATCATAATTTTATACTTCACAAATATTTTCTACTGCAAACTAGATCTCTATTTCATAAAATCATTTCAAGAATTGATCTAAATGTTATGCATTAATCTACTGCTTTCCTGTCTCATTTTTAGATTGAATCGATTAGCTTGGAAGTTAAATGGGAGATATATCATCAATGTCCACTTTAGCTTGTTTATTTATTTTGTTAAAGTTATTTGAACTTTGCAACAGCTCAGCTTATTAAGCAGAAATCAAGGTATATAGTTTAGTAGTAGCAGTGTCCAAGGTGTTAGCATATCTTGTAAACATAAAAGATATTGAATCAGCACAGGGAGTGCATTAGCCATCACTACAATCTAATATAACTTGGGTAGATGCTCCTGCACACATATTATCAATCTTATCTTTGGTCCAAATGTCAAATGGAGTCATTGATACAATATCATCAGAGCAATATCTCTTAGGATCTTATTTGACTACTGAATCAATGCAATCATTAAATAATCTTTCCTCTCTTGAATTGAAATCTAGTTCTAGAGTGAGCAAGAGGGAATACTAGACTGATTTATCAAGATGAGTAATGTCTTTCTATCTTATTTAGTAGTAGAGATCTTCATATGATTTGCAAGTATCTGAAATAGTAAGGACTTAAGATGGTAAACTTGGAAGATACCATGGGTTTAAATCCTTAGATGTCTTAAGCGTATTTTAGCAAGTATTTTTAAACTAATCGGAATGAGGTTCTAATGAAAAAAGTTGATTAAGGAAAAGAAGTCTCTCTTTGAGGGAGTCTTTAACATTCGCACAAAAATCATTAGCCATTATTTACAGGCTCATATCATTATCACCTTCTCTTAATTTTTTAATGGATTCTTTCAAATGCCTGATTACATAAACTCCCATAAATGTGCAAAACGGTGGTTTCAATGAATCTTAATAATGAATTATTATATAGTAATATGTTACTTTGTGAATTCTCGATGTGATTGAGGCATACATCCATCACAAATTTCTCATATGTTCTAGAGGGATTTGTTTAGATTTCATCTATTGAAATAGCTTTTGCAAAATTACTCATGCATTATCTATGTTGATCAGGCTAAGTTGCACTTTGGGAATTTATTCTCGATATAAATGACTGATAATAATTACTAAGCAATGAAAATTACAGTAAAGAACAAGGCGAAAATGAGATTTTGCATTTTATATCCGTTATTTAAGATTTAAATCTTGATTTAAATTTTATTTTAAGTATGAATTCCTGTCAAATCCTATCAAAAGGGGTTTTGGGGTTTTGGGGTTTTGGGG